TATGAAACTAAATCCTTGTACTCTATTTTTTTTTATTACACAGAGTTGTACTTTCATAGATAAAACGATTTTATTAGTTATATCGTACTATAAATTACATTTTATAGTTGTACTTTTGAAAATAGTTAATAATAAGACATTTAAGACACATATAGATAATTAAATGTATAAAATTATGTTTTTTTGTTAATTTCTTATAACTATATAGCATTAGTTGTAATAGTTGTCATAGAAGTATAAGGTATATGTTATGAAAATATGATTTTTGTGTTCTCAATATTCAAAAATAACCATCTTCCTCCTCTTCTTCCTCTTCCTCTCCCTCGATGTTCTCCAACTGATGGATGCCTAATTGTGTTGATGCGTCCTTTTTTCTTAATTATTTCTGGAGGAAATATACATTTTGCTCGGATATGGTCAGGAACAACCCAGTCATCTTTATGGGGGACTGGATAGATTGTCCTGCAGTAAGCCAACGACCAATGTTCCATCCAATAATAGTGGGAGCAAAATTCACGTAGATGGAGCTCTCTATCCCCGCTCATAAAGATAGCAGCTGCTATTGCATGCACACACGGATACTTATCAATATCAAACCTCTTGCAACTGCAACTTTTATTTCTCATATCAACCAGATAAACCTTGCCATCACGCCCAATCACATTGTACTCAAGGTGGTAGCTGTTTAACTCATGCACCGTCAAGGTTTTTGCTTCCACACATCTCACATGCATTTCGTTCTCCACATATGGCACAAGCTTATGTGCCGTAGAAACTTCATTAGACGCCTTCCTATACTTGTTAAACCATTCAGCTAGTTTTGCAATAATCACATCAATCATTGGTAACAACGAGTATTTCCTTGCTTCTACAAAAACGCCATTGATAGATTCTGCACAATTGGTGGTGTCTATGTTATACCTGTCTCCGGGAAAATAGCATCTTGCCCATTTCTCCTCACCAACAGTTCTGTCCAGATAGTCGGCTGCATCTGGATACATTTTCCTAAAAGCACTATATAGTGTCAAGAATTCATTCTCTGTATAAGCATGAGCACAAGCTCGGAACTTCTTCGCACAAGTTGCTCTATTGACTCCACTGACATTCTCTTTCACGTTTTGAGACAAATGATATATACAAACACCATTCTGAGACAATGGAAAGACCTCACGTATTGACTTGAGGAGACTTACGTTTCTATCAGAAAGAAAAACCAGTTCAGGAACATCTGGTACAACTGATCTCAACTTGCTCATAAACCACATCCAACTTGCCTCTTTCTCACCATCAACTACACCAAAAGCAATTGGATGATGGTGATGGTCAGGATCCTGAGCTGTAGCAACAATTAAAACACCACCATATGCATTTTTAAGGTGGGTAGCATCCACAGCAATCACTTTTCTCATGACTTGAAAACCCTCAAGGCAAGCTCCCAAGGCAAAGAAAAGATACTTAAACCTGTTTCCCTCATCCAATTCCACATAAGTGCGTGTACCAGGGTTCATGTACTCTAGCATATACAAATAAGAGTGCAACAACTGATAACTCTCCTCTGGACTTCCCCGCACATCATTAGCAGCTGCTCTTTTACCTCTCCATGCAGTAGAGTATGATACTTTAACACCAAATGCGTTTTGAACCAAACCAATCAGTTCTTGTGGTGCTGGAGTTTTAAGTTTGCCTGGATAATCAGAATGGCAAATAGACCTGACCAACTGTGGTGTGCCTTTCCTTCGATTTTTGCTTGTAACTGTAGTAGCTCGAGAACATGTATGAATCTTGATGTACGTTCTAACTGAGAAAAGATCTGAATTCTTCGTCTTTGCAGCTCGTAAATACCACTTACACCCATCTTTTGCTCCACGACATTTTAACACATATCGACGTGTATCTGACTGGATGATATCAAACTCAAAACCATTTTTACGGGAGGCTACAAACACTAATTCTTGTAATGACTCCTTTTTGCCAAATTCTTGTCCTACAACTAAATCAATACCATCTTCCCATGTATGATTCACGTACACATCTCCTTCTACAGCAGGTGCCACCTCAATATCATCATACATACCAAAGTCTTCATGCACATTATTTCCAACATCTTCACCATCTTCACCATCTTCAGCATCTTCACTAACAACATCTTCTTTCTGCGGTTCTGATGGTTCACCTTTGTAAAAAGTATCCATACCATCATTAACATCATCACCATGTTGTGGCTCTGACGGTTGCACAAATCCCTCATTTTGCTCAACATCTGTGATGAGCTCCACATGCAAAACCCTTCTACACTGATTATTATTCACTTGCATTAGATAACCAAATACATCTTCATCATTCCGAACATATGATGGCTTCTTGGGATCCAATATCAGTGGAAAGTAGCTAAGTCTAAGCTGCGTCATAGCTCCATCTACCATAAGCTTTTTGCAAATTTTATCAACCAGCCCATTGTAAGTGATCTCTTCCATAGATGTCTTAATCACTAAAGTATGAATTTCAACCTCTTCTGAGTTCCACCTCATGTATTCACCGTCCTTTGAATAACATCCCCCCGAATCAAAACATATGATTGTGCATCAAGTGTTACTCATCGTTCTGTTAAAAGAAAAAATAAAAACTGTTAGAATATATTTATAGTTGTACACTAGTAGTACTAGTTGCACCAGTTGTCTAAGGAAAACCAGTTGTACTAAAAGCTTCTGGTTACAGATCGACGCTTCTGAAGATTCATACGTATTCTAGTACTCTAGTATACTTAAATAACCAATGTAAATCCCGAACAAACGTATACATAAGTTTACTAACAGAAAAAAAAAATCACAAACATAATTTCTAAACTCTAAATGCATAAACTCGTTTTTTTGTTGAAAAGAGAAGAATTTACCTTCAAATCACGTTCTGGGTCGTCGAGATCAGCTGAAGAAATGCTGCAGGATATGTATTTTTCAAGGGTTGAAGATCGCTGAATCTTCCAGAGTTTTGAAGAAAATCGCTGAAGCTTCAAGGGAAGGGAGCTGTAAAAATTTTTTTTCTGGTTTCTACGTACAAAGAAGAAGAAAGAAGAAGAAGAGAGTAGGTCCCATTAACATAGGTGGTTGGGCTGGGTAGGTTCAAAGTAAAACCAAAATTAATTGGTGTGGGATGGGTGAGAAATTAATTGGTTTGATTTAAAGGGAGTGGGGCCATTTTTAAATAAAGGGTAAAGTAAAAAGGGTGAAAAATAGGGAGAAATAGAGAGGAGTATGTAGAATAAAAGAGGAGTATATAGAATTTTTAAAACTCATTAAAAGCATTTGAGGTTAAACTCCAATCGTTCATTATTTATGCTTATGAGCTTATCCGCGTCGTTGGTATTTTTTTTATACTTATATAAAAAACAAAAAATAAGATTAAAAGAAAAAAAAGTGGACCAATACGAGAGGCACAAATGAGAAAGTATAGGCGTTTCGCTGATTAGACCACTAATTCGGCCCAGGCCCAATAATTTAGAAGAAAGGTCGACGTGGCAACTTTCTCTCTGCTGCGACAGGGCAGGAAAATTGATTTGCTCAAGCAAGCAGCAATGTAGAAGCAAGCAATGTAGAAGCTAGAAAATCTTTGCAACTTTTCTACAACTCCGAAGGTTTTGACAGTCGGGATTAGATAACTGGATGGTTTCTTATCGGAAGTTCTCTTCTTCGTTGGATGCACGCCAAGTGTTCGGCGAAATGACGAAGAGAAGCTTATATCAGTGGAATACTCTTCTTAAGAGCTTATCCAGAGATAAACGATGGGAACAAGTCCTGTGTCACTTTACTCAAATGTTTCGCGATGGTGAAAAGCCTGATAACTTCACGCTTCCAGTTGCTCTCAAGGCCTGCGTGGAGCTGCGGAAAGTTAAGTATGGGGAAATCATTCATGGGCTCGTCAACAAGTATGCTACGATTGGGTCCGACCTTTATGTTGGATCTTCTATTATAGATATGTATGCGAAATGTGGGAGAATGCCTGAAGCTTTGAGGGTCTTCGATGAGCTGGATAAGCCTGACATAGTGACATGGTCTTCTATGGTTTCTGGGTTTGAGAAAAATGGGTTTCCCTTTGAGGCTGTGGAGTTTTTCAGGAGAATGGCGATGGCCTTGGATGTTTTTCCTGATCGGGTAACTTTAATCACTCTAGTTTCTGCATCTACAAAACTGTCTAATTCAAGGCTTGGTAGTTGCGTACATGGTCTTGTGATGCGGAGAGGGTTTGAAAAGGATTTGTCTTTACTAAATTCACTATTGAATTGTTATGCCAAGTCGAGAGCTTTCAAAGATGCGGTTACTTTGTTCAATATGATGGCAGAGAAAGATGTTATATCTTGGAGCACAGTGATTGCTTGCTACGTTCAAAATGGAGCTGCTACTGAAGCATTGCGTGTCTTCCATGAAATGGTGGATAATGGAACAGAACCTAATGTAGCTACTATGCTCAGTGTGTTCCAAGCTTGTGCAGCTGCTCATGATTTAGATCAAGGTAGGAAAAGTCATGAACTAGCCATTAGGAAAGGTGTAGAAACAGATGTCAAAGTCTCCACTGCTCTAGTTGATATGTATATGAAGTGTTTCTCCCCCGAAGAAGGTTATGCTGTTTTCTCTAGGATTCCTAAGAAAGATGTGGTCTCTTGGGTTGCTTTGATAAGCGGCTTTACATTGAATGGAATGGCTCACAGATCAGTTGAGGGGTTTGCCATGATGCTGCGTGAAAATAATACGAGGCCTGATGCTATTCTTATGGTGAAGATTCTCGGATCATGTTCGGAGTTAGGCTTTCTCGAACAAGCTGAATGCTTTCATAGTTATGTGATCAAATTTGGATTTGACAGTAACCCATTCATCGGAGCTTCTCTTGTGGAGCTTTATTCAAGATGCGGGAGTCTAGGCAATGCTTCCAAGGTATTCAATGAGATTAATTTAAAGGACACTGTAGTTTGGACCTCTTTGATCACTGGTTATGGAATCCATGGCAAGGGAACTGAAGCGCTAGAGACATTTAATCACATGGTCAAGAGCTCAAAAGTTGAGCCTAATGAAGTGACATTTCTCTCAGTCTTATCTGCCTGTAGCCACTCAGGTTTGCTTCATGAGGGATTGAGAATATTTGAGTTGATGGTCAGGGACTATAGACTTGCTCCCAGCTTAGAACATTATGCTGTATTGGTTGATCTTCTTGGTCGTGTAGGAGAATTAGATACTGCCATTGAAATCACAAAGGGGATGCCTTTTTCACCAACACCTCAAATCTTGGGTACTCTTTTAAGCGCGTGTAGGATTCATCAGAATGGTGAGATGGCTGAAGCTGTTGCAAAGACGCTTTTTGAAATGGAATCAAATCATGCTGGTTATTACATGTTAATGTCGAACATGTATGGGGCTAAGGGAGAATGGGATTATGTGGAAAAATTGAGAATTTCGGTCAAGGACAGAGGAATCAAAAAAGGATTGGCAGAGAGTTTGATTGACATTAAGAGAAAGGTCCATAGATTTGTGGCTGATGATAATATGCATCCCAAGAAAGAGCTGGTTTATAGATTGCTAAAGGAGCTGGATTTGCATATGAAAGAAGACTTGGAAGATTCTGCGTATATCGAATTTGAGGGAGACAGCTTGTGATTTAGTGTATGCAGAAGCTTAAGGCTAATAATTCTCTGTCAAATTCTTAAGCTTGTGAATGTGGAGATTTTAAGCCCAAGACAGATCTCATTCTGGGGAACAATGCATGATCTGGAACTCAATCACAGGCTATGTAGTTAAAGTTTGGGAAAACCAGTTCTTGATCAGTCTCACTTTAGGTTTTTGATTTGAAGCCATAAGAAGAGGAATCCCTTTAACAAAAGCAATAGGCCAAGTAATATATTTCCTTATTGCTCCATTGAAAGTGTAGATTCAGAAGAGTTGTTGAAGCAAAAGTAGACGTTGCCCCATAGGAGAGTCGGGCAACTCAAGAGTAAGATTATTCATCCCTGCTTAATTACAAGGGTAAAACAGAGTTTTCATGTATCACGAGACTCCACCTGACACTAAGTCACTAAAAGTAATGTTTGTAGTCTTTATCCATCTCAGACAGCCTCTGCATTGGTATCATCGGATTCGCACTCTCCTCTCTTTAAAGGTTAAAATAGAAGATAAAACAAAATAAAAGGAAACGAAACTTGTTACTCATGCAAGCTTCTCAGGTGCCACGTCACTCCGTTACGTGTCCTGTCCTCGCAGCATTTCGCTCATCTATATTACGACAAAAAACGATCCACTTCTCAAGCCTTTAAAGGCAGAAGCAACTAATTGAGCAACACCTTCTTGGTTTTAGTTTCTTGTGAAATCTATCTAGTTAAGCTTGCTTTAACTTGGCCGATCAATGGCGGACGTTCGCACACATTCACACCAGGTTCAAGTGCACCCTCTACGCCAACACGAAGGAGGCATCAAAGTCCTTTATCCCCAGAGTGGCCCTTCTTCCACTCAGGTACCTATCCTAATTGGAATCTCAGCCATACATATATATATATATCCAACAAAATATGCTTATGTATGTGGTTTACACGTAACATGCAGGTTCTGGCCGTGGTCGCCGGTGTACCAATTGGAGGGACGCTGCTGACTATAGCCGGCTTGACATTAGCTGGTTCGGTTATCGGACTAATGCTAGCATTCCCGTTGTTCGTCATCTTCAGTCCGGTTATCGTACCAGCAGCCTTTGCGATCGGTTTAGCTATGACGGGATTCATGGCGTCAGGGGCAATAGGGCTCACAGGGCTGTCGTCGATGTCGTGGGTACTCAACTACATCCGTCGGGCGAGGGAACATTTGCCGGAGGAGCTGGAGGAAGCCAAGCAGCGTTTGGCGGGCATGGCTGAGTATGTGGGACAGAGGACCAAAGATGCTGGACAAACTATTGAAGACAAAGCTCATGATGTTCGAGAGAGCAAGACTTATGATGTGCGTGACCGAGACACCAAGGCTCATACTGCCCGAGGAGACAAAGACACCAAAACTACTCACGAGGTCCGAGTGGCTTCTACATAATATATATTATAAAGTCGTGTGTTTTTGTAGTGGTGAATAAAAGGATCGTCTGTCGTGGTAGTTGTGTTTGTTTAAATTTTGAAAATGCTTTTGTAATCTTCTCTGAGTTTAGTTTCTTCTTCTTTTTTTCTTTCTTTTTCCCTGTAATAATAATGTCATAGACGTTTTGCTTTTGTGGCTTCTTTGTTTCATGATGCGTCCTTTCATCAATTGGAAATAGATTCGATTGATCGCTGATTTACAAATGGAAATGCAAGAAAAAGAGAGAAAAACACACCTCAAGCTGTGTCAAGCTTCAAACAGATCTGAAACCAATATATGAAGTCACAAACTCAGATATAGTAAGACAATTGATCCTACAGTACTAGACAAGCGTCAGCCCAACCGAAGGCTACCGACCACCAAACGAAGCTCCTCCATTGTTCATCAACTTATCTAGAACCACGTTGAGGTCAACAGCTTGGCCGTCTTCAGTCAGTTTTCTTACCGTTGCTCTCACTTGGTCCCTTGGGAAGCCCATGGTTGTCACCCTGTCGATTACATCATCCACTGGGACTCTGCTTTCTGATCCCGAGGAGCTAGAGCCGCTGTTCACGGCTGCAGCCATAGGCAAAGCGTGTGGCAATGGACGTGCATTTGAGAGCTGTGGATAACCAGTTCCGCTGCTACTCATATGTGGCGGTTTCGCCGATGCCATTGCCGAACCAGTGTAGGGGTAGGATTCCCTCGAACTAGATCTACCACCCGCTCCATCATACATTGATGGTTGATGTTGATGAGCATTGTAGAACTGTTGGGAATGGGCGGAACCAGCTGGTGGATGCTGACGAGGAGGGTTTGGCGAGTAAGACTGCATCGCATGTGATGGATGTTCCTCGGGGATGTAACCTGATGATGGTGGTGGTGGCTGTTGAGGGTACTGTGCCTGCTGAGGCAGTGACTGGTAAGGTAGTTGTTGTGGCGGCTGGGTTTGAGGAGGAGCTTGATAAAGAAGCTGGTTTGGTGGAGGTGGTTGGGAATGACTAGGAGGAGGGCTATAGGGCTCTTGTTGAGGAGAAAACTGAGTGGGTAGCTGAGCTAGCAGTTGTGAGGACGATGGTTGGTGACTCTGATGGGAGGATGGTGGCTGGAGGATTTGCTCAGGGGAAGATGGTGGCTGTGAGAACGAAGTAAGAGGACGCTGGGGTATTTGCTGCAGAGTAACTGGTGTGGGAGGCTGAGCAATGGGATCAACATGCACAGGGTGCGTTTTGGGGTGCTGGTCTACTTTGGATACCTGAAGCTTTGAAAGCTGAAGCTGATCTTCGAAAATTTCATGTTTTTCCTTCACTAGTTTCACACCACTTTGCACCTGCACGCAATTCACATAAAGAACTGAAGCATCAACAAAATGAATTCTACACTCGATTCAAGTAAATTGCTTTTTTAAAAGGGGCTTAAAGCAGGAGAAAACTTCTCTATAAGATAGATCAGTATGATCCCAGGAAAGGCTAGACTTGTACTTTGTCTAAAACTTAAATTATGTGTATAGAATAGTCATCTGATTGTTCTAATTCCAAATTCAATTGATCGATATTTCCCAAAAGTTACCTCTGCAAGGATATTTTCAAGCTGTCTCATTTTCCCATCGGTGCTTCCGTGACTGTTCTCGACAGAAACTTTGAGATCATCGACCAGGTTTTCGAGATTGTGGGTTCTGGTCTCCAGCTGTGTTAGACGTGCACTTACACCTTCCATTACATGCAGCAAGGTATCTACATGTTTCTTCATTGTCCTATCAATATCAGACAGAATTGTCGTGTCAGACAAATTCTGACCCTTCTCATGAACTAAGTTTGCAGGCTCAATAGAGTCGAGAGATCCAAAACCCTGCCCGGCACATAAAAATAAATAAAAGAGTCGATAAGGCTAGTAAAGAGACAGAAGTATTCTCTAAGGGTGATGAATACTTTCTATGCAAAGCAACAAATCAAATTTATTCAATTACATATTGAAAGAGAAAACACACAATTTAACGAGGAAAAAACCTGAGCCAACTTAACATCAATTGATCATAACTGGATTATATATCAAGATAATGAGAGGGTTACACAAATAACCAACCATTACTTTCAACTTCAAATGAAATATCAAAACTCAAAGCACACACACTAAGTAAAAATACATTAACGCAGAAAAATTGACAAGAAGAGTGCTGGAGAGGCCTAACCACTGAAATAGAGCTCGAATTTATACTAGAAATTGAGGACAGTCTTATTAGCAAATGACGAATAAACGGAGAAGATCGATCTGAAATACGCAAACAAGTTGAAGATTCGAGAACTATTACCCTGTTAGACAGAATGGAAACAGGTTTAGAATCAGACGCGGACAAAACCCTAGACGCCGTATAAGTGGTGGATCCGGCGAGATCTAAAGCCGAGTGAGACAATCCAACGGTGGTGTTAGGACGGATCGGGTGAAAATCATAGCTGGGAACGATCTCTTCCTTGTTCGAATCCAATCCATTATCGCCGACTCGCTGCTTCTGGTGATCATCGTCATGTGAATTAGTAGTATTGTTGTTATTCAGATCGATGAAATCAGAAGAAGGTGGAGATGAAGAGGATAGATCCATTATCTGCTTATCCATAAACTGACCAGTATTCATCGATCGACCCAAAATTTTCTCTGACTTTGGATTTTGTGTGTTTTCTTTCTAAAACCTCTTCGATCGAAAACATATAAATTTCATCGAAGACTTTTTTAAAAATCATATGACCAGGCTGCTTATTGAGTTATTGTTATCATGTCAGCACACCTTCTGATTGGCTGATAAGGTTATGGACGCTCTTGAGGCCTGAAGACTTTAATGGGCCGAGATGTATTTCAATTCTAATACCCAATAGCCTACCTGTAAAAGCTCAAACTATAGTAGAAACTGATAACCAAAAAAAAAACTCTAAACCAAACCGATTGGAATTGGAATTGGTATTGAGCCCACCCCCCAGATATTATTATTTGATGTAAGAAGAAACTCTCTTAATATACAAGAAACCGATAAACACCTTCTTTCTTTTTTCCAAGAATTCGCTGTTTTTTTTCCTAAGAATTCGCTGTTTTCCGTTTTCAATGTGAACATGTGCTATTGTTTCTAACGATTTTTTGAGATTTGTAAATAGTTCGAAAAAAAAACAACAAACGGACGATGCCAGCAGAAAGATGAAACTATTCTCCTGCTTGTATAAATGAAGACAAATACCCTTAAATAAATGGCATGATGATCAAAGCATTGGGGCCATATTTTTTATTTATGGATACACCATCCACATGTTTGAGCCCCCTCCTTTTTAATAACATCCATACATTTTTAGATGACAATTCCGCATAAAAATTACAATAAAATTTATTTCATTAATTGTGGTCAGTAATTTGTTATGTTCGTACATGGATCATTGATCATTCGTAAACAAGTCACATAAACACATCAGTTAGAGGTGTTTTGTCAACATGATTTACATAAACACGTATCGTTTAAATATTTTGTGGTGATTCGTAATCATTCGAGATAGGTAATAATGCATGTCTTCAGTAATATGCCCAATCATATTTTTAGATTTTTTAGTGCATACTTATGCTCTGTTTTTGGTTTATAAAATAAAATAGTATAAAAATTGAACTTTACGTCGGTCTTCGATATGATTTCAGTTTTTAGATTTAGATTGGATTGTTTATCCAGTTTTACAAGAAAAAAAAGAATGGTGGTTATGAAGTAGTATATAAAGTGAAAACAAAACAAATTGCATATAAAACTTTGTTTATGTGTTGGCTCGTGTTACATTCAGCTGAATTCAAACATCATCCATATGGAACATCGAAATTTTAAATGTGTTCAATGGAACGATAGATAGAAGAAGAACGACATACAAAAAAAAGAATATTTTAAATTATTAATCAACACTAGCGAATTTAAAATACAGTTGAGTTTATCGGTCTATATTACAGTCTATATTACAGGTTTTGAAAAAACTGTCGGCGTGAGTTCTACAGCTAATTTTGATAATTACGTTTAGTCCAAAGAAAGTGAACAAAAACATCCAAACAGTACAACGAAAGAAAATATTAAACAAAACATGACACATCTTAAACATCTCCTTATCAGCCATTAAACACCAAATACAAAACAAAATTGAGACATTATAATGAGAAGACACAATAAAGTAGTACTGTATACAATTCATTTAACACTCTTACTAAATAGGAAGAAGAAGAGGGAAAAGAAAGTTGGGTGTTGTCCATTTACTTGTGCAATTCTAACAAATGGTTGATGATTTATGTAGAATTTCAAGCGTTCAACCATAGATCGATCTTCAAGAACAGAATCTGCCGAGCAAGACGAAAAGAGGATACCAAATTATGCTTCTAACTCCGTATCCGAGACTTCCGTCTCCGTTACTAGCTGCCAAGTCTAATCCTGAATCATCATTGACCAGAAGAGCCAGGGCTTCTTATTCTACTTCTAATTCCTATTATTGGTTGTTTCTGAGACCGAACCGTAGATTTAATGGCTTCAAGCTCAAGTCAGCTACAGTCCCGGAAAACGTGGAAGGAGATGTGGAATCTGGAGGTCTGGTCAAAGGGCTGAAGCTAGGAGCCATGTTCGGAGTTTGGTATCTTCTCAATATCTACTACAACATCTTCAACAAACAGGTTCCTTCTTTTCTTTATCTCATTACCTATTAAACAATCGATCTCAATTCATCCCTCACCAACCACTATCACCGGTTTTTTTCCTTTTCATGTTTCAAGGCTCGAACTTTATGTTTGATCAGTTAATCTCTCTCCGACCCATTAATCTTCATGGAAATGTGAAACTTGGGTCGCAATTGGATTTCGATTCCGCAACCGATTTTTCTCCTAAATTATTTTGTTGTTCATCCAGGTCCTTAGGGTTTATCCATATCCAGCGACTGTAACAGCATTTCAATTCGGGTGTGGAACGTTGATGATAGCAATAATGTGGCTCCTCAAACTCCATCCTCGCCCAAAAATTGCTCCTTCTCAGGTAAATCAAAACAAACCCTTAAAAAAACAGATTGATTCACTCTGATTTAGGATTCTTTTGTTTAATATCTCCAGCTTCCGGCGATCGTACAGCTAGCAGCAGCTCACACATTAGGAAACTTTTTAACAAACGTGAGTTTGGGAAGAGTAAACGTCTCTTTCACCCATACAATCAAAGCAATGGAGCCTTTCTTCACCGTCTTGTTCTCTGTTCTCTTGCTCGGTGAGGTAAGCAAAACAGAGGCACGCTGATCCTAAGTTTGAATCTTCATTCAGAGACTGAAAAAGCGTTCTCTCTTTTTTTCCGACTTGTTACTGATTTCTCTGTTTGGTGTCAGTGGCCGAGTTTGTGGATTGTTTGTTCCTTGTTACCAATCGTCGCTGGAGTTTCTTTAGCATCTTTCACTGAGGCCTCTTTTAACTGGTATGAACAAAAATTAAATAAATAAATAATAGTTAGTCTTCTTGATACATAAACTATTAACTGAATTGATTTTATGTTTTCCGAATGAACCAGGATTGGTTTCTGCAGTGCAATGGCATCTAATGTAACGAACCAATCACGCAATGTTCTCAGTAAAAAATTCATGGTTGAAAAGGTAGAATAACTGACTAATGCATCCTCTCAAGAAACCAATCACGCAATGTTCTGCTATAATCTTTCTATTGAAACAGGACGCTTTGGACAACATCAACCTTTTCTCTGTAATAACCATTATCTCCTTTATCTTACTGGTTCCTGTCGCAATCCTCATCGATGGGTTTAAGTTTACTCCTTCACATTTTCAACTAGCTGTAAGTGAAAACTGAAACCATGAACCGATTTATATAGATTTTCCCAAAAAAATTAAAGAAAAAAAAAAACTTACGTGTTTTGTTTTGTGGTTTCTTGACAGACAAGTCAGGGCTTGACTGTAAAAGAGTTTTGTTTCATGTCTCTTCTGCCTGGTGTTTGCTTGCATAGCTACCAACAGGTTCGTCCGTATAGTTCAGGTTTGAGAAAGTTGTAATGATCGGTTTAGGTTTTGTTTATTCCGTTCCAACCAGCATTAACCAAATCCCGGTTTAGGTTTCGTATATGATATTAGAGATGGTGTCTCCAGTCACACACTCTGTAGGGAATTGCGTGAAGCGTGTGGTGGTTATTGCATCATCCATTCTTTTCTTCCAAACTCCAGTCTCGCCTCTTAATTCCATAGGTAACTAATAATAGTAATATTATATCCGATTTATTAACCTTTCATTTTGTTGAAATCTCTCACTTTAATCAAGATTCTGTCCTAAAATCTCTTAACACAGGTATGGCGACTGCATTAGCTGGCGTTTACTTGTACACCAGAGCCAAGAGGGCCAAAGTCAAACCAAACCCAAAATCTTGTTAAACTTTTTCTTTTGGTTTGAAACTTCTTGAAGTTGTATATATATATAAAAAAAAATTATAGAAGCTCTTTGATTTTCATTCCACCATATTTCTAAACCGTATATTCTTTTCTTTTCTTTTTCGTTAACATCACGTAAAAGAGGATTTATATATACAGTTTGCCACCATTCAGTTATGAGCTTTTTAATCAGCACAAATCGATTTCTTTTATCTTTGTTAACTATCTGAAATAAATTTATCAACAAGAATTGCAATACATAGTTTTTTTGTTCCAATCACGTTGTTGCTAATAAATAGTTTTTTTTTTTGTTCCAATCACATTGTTGTACATCATATTTCGTGTTATTTACGGCAGTAATAATAATGTAAAAATGGAGATCCTAACAAAACAAAATAAAATTCTGAAATTATACAATGGGCCTTGAAAATAAAAAGCAATGGGTCCATAAAAAGCCCAAACAAAAAAAGAAGAAGGCGGCTCGTTTAGGGACAGATATTTTTTTGTTTTGATTGGTGGATGGGTTGGTTTTATAAACCTAACGGAGGCGCGTTACGGTGCACAACTTCTCTCTCTCTCTTCTCTACGCTTCTTCTTGTGGCGTAGATTTTATAGAGAGAGAAATAAAAAGGAAAAAGGAATCTCAAAGCTCAAGTTCAGAGATTTTGACCCGATTCCACATTCAGGTACGCGTTCTTCCGTAGAGTATTGGATTCGCCTCGCTTAATTGCTTTCAAGTTTTAGTTTCTCGTGGAAACACTGTCGGTTTGGTCGTGTCTAATTGTATATTTTCAGATCGAATCCCGTGGCTTCTTCGTGTTTCCGCTTTGTATCTAGATAGATCTGTGAGATCGTGCTTGATTCTATTTGGATGATTTACTGTTCTCTTGATAGTTGTTGGATTTCCAATTAAAAATTAAAAAAAAACAAACGAATTATGTACCTTGTTGGGAAATTGATTCAGTTCTAGTTTTGATGTATTGGAACATGATCGTAGATGAATTATGTACCTTGTTGTGTCGGTTATCTCTTCTTCTTCTTCTTTGACATGTTTCCATATGCAGAACTCTTGGATATGGCTGCTACCGCAACTGCTTCTGCAGTCCGATACGCACCTGAGGATCATTCTCTTCCCAAGCCTTGGAAAGGCCTTGTGGATGATAGGACTGGTTATCTGTACTTTTGGAATCCAGAGACCAATGTTACTCAGTATGAGAGACCAATTGGCTCTCAACCTCCCAAGTTTGCTGCTGCGCCTGTAAGCTCCTCCGTTCAGGCTCAACAAACTTCTTCCGGAGCCAATGGGAGCTATGGTCTTGTCAAGGATGATGACAAGTACAGCAGAGGCAGTGACGGTGGGCCTAAGATTGAGCCCGGGTCCAGATTTACTGAGGTACTAACCATTTGCTCTTGTTTTTTGGTCTGTTTATAACTTTTTTTTGTTACTTTGCTTGGGCGCATCTGTAAATTTTCTCAATATGTTACAGGTTGGCAGGAGTGGAGCGCCCTATTCGAATGGTGCTGCAAATGGAGTCGGAAATTCTGCATACGGTGCCTCTGCAAGAGGTCCACCTCCTTCATCAGCGCCAGCAAATGAACTTTCCCCTGAGGTCTATTGCCGCCGTCATGAAATTACTGTCAGTGTAAGTATCTAGCAACTTTCACTGCCTGTTTTGCTCCTCTCTTATGTGGTGGTGCTCTCTTTCATCTTATAAATAGAATTCCTACATTGTGTTTATCTCAAACAGCTTCCTTTACAACAGCCAATTGGTGAGAGGCATTTAGATCTTGATTTTTTTCTTTTAATTACGAAGTAGCAACTGATGTATTTTTCTTTTCCCTTTTCTTCAGGGAGGCCAAGTACCACCACCTCTAATGTCCTTTGAAACTACAGGTTTTCCTCCTGAGCTACTGCGGGAGGTATGGATTTATTGTTATAGTAAATTAATGAACACTGAAAACCTTTTTTTTCTTAGTTATAACCATTAAGCTGGATCTATCTATATAGAGTTTTATCCTGGGACCTAATATCATGGACCTTGCTCGGTTTTCCTAATAATAGACTTATTTTGTCACCAAGCTAAAACCGCCTTAGGTTTAACATTTAGAGTCAGTTTTATGCCATATGCACCCTTTTTTCTTCTTCTTTTTTCCCCAGGTGCGATGTTTGCTCCTGGGAGGAGCTAATGTCGTACACTGTGCCACTTCTTGGAGGTCCTTGCAAAATATTTGGAGTGCCCTTTATGGTGGACCAAATTTTTTGGGAAGGGCTTCCCAAATCATCCAAGCTCGTGGCCGGGCCTGTTAATTGTGTGATGATTCATTTCACCACCGGGTCCAGACAGAAGAAGAGGCGTCCTCCTGCTGCAGGTTTCATCAGTAATCTTTTGCCGCCTGCAAATGGGGGATGGTGCTTCTTCTGACATGAGCCACCACTCCATAAGCCAAAAAATGAACCCTGGTGCTCCTCTTCTCACAGGACATCCTGGTTTTCTGCTTTCTTAGGTACTCAGTGCAGGTTTCTCTGCTCCAACTCCAATCCAAGCTCAGTCTTGGCCAATTGCGATGCAAGGTAGGGACATAGTAGCCATTGCTAAAACTGGCTCGGGAAAAACTCTGGGTTACTTGATTCCTGGCTTTCTGCATCTTCAACGCATCCGGAATGATTCGCGAATGGGCCCGACTATATTGGTATTGTCTCCAACGAGGGAACTGGCTACACAAATTCAAGACGAAGCTGTCAAATTTGGGAGGTCATCAAGAATTTCGTGTACGGTAAGTAGAAGCCTCTGTTTTTTTTTTTTGGAAACATAGTACTTGATAAGTATCCTTTTAATGTATACTAAATGCGTGGTCTTGTTGTCTCTGTTTCAGTGTTTGTATGGTGGTGCACCAAAGGGCCCTCAGCTGAGGGATTTGGAAAGAGGAGCAGATATCGTGGTTGCAACTCCTGGACGATTGAATGATATCCTTGAGATGAGGAGAATTAGTCTGCGTCAAGTATCTTATCTTGTGCTAGATGAGGCAGATAGAATGTTGGACATGGGTTTCGAACCGCAGATAAGGAAGATTGTGAAAGAGATCCCAACTAAGCGTCAAACCCTTATGTACACTGCTACATGGCCGAAGGGCGTCAGGAAAATTGCAGCTGACTTGCTTGTTAACCCTGCTCAGGTCAACATTGGCAACGTCGACGAGCTTGTGGCAAACAAGTCGATCACACAGGTATAAATTGATTTGATTCCATTTTGCTATTATTGTCTGGAGCATTTCCAGGAAAATCGATCTGATGGTCTGTTTTTGTGATGCGACCATGGAACGATCGTATCATTTTGTGGACACAGCACATTGAAGTTGTAGCACCAATGGAGAAACAAAGGAGGCTAGAGCAGATATTACGGTCTCAGGAACCAGGCTCAAAGGTGATAATATTCTGCTCAACCAAAAGGATGTGTGACCAACTAACTCGCAATATAACCCGCCAATTTGGAGCTGCTGCTATACATGGAGACAAGTCTCAGCCTGAGAGAGACAGTGTTCTGAATCAATTCCGCAGTGGCAGGACTCCGGTTCTTGTTGCAACTGATGTTGCTGCTCGTGGGCTGGACGTTAAGGACATCAGGTACATATTTTATCCAAATTCCAATCCTTAGACATTAAGAAGATGATTAGTTAACACGAATTTTGGGATCACAGGGCGGTCATCAACTACGATTTCCCCAATGGAGTGGAAGACTATGTTCATAGAATCGGAAGAACAGGAAGAGCTGGAGCGACTGGTCAGGCATTCACATTCTTTGGTGATCAAGACTCGAAACATGCCTCAGATCTGATAAAGATCTTGGAAGGCGCAAACCAGCGAGTTCCTCCTCAGATCCGCGAAATGGCCACACGCGGTGGTGGTGGAATGAACAAATTCAGTCGATGGGGTCCTCCTTCCGGAGGTCGAGGTGGTCGTGGTGGCGACTCTGGTTATGGTGGCAGAGGTGGTAGCTTTGGTTCACGTGACAGGTAAACAAACGATAGAACATATCAACATAACTTAGTTCTTTTTTATTTATCTGTTATATACTATAAAATATGATTGTGACATGAGATTTTTTGTATATATTGTGAATGGGTGTAGAAGCAGCAATGGATGGGGAAGAGAGCGTGAAAGGAGCCGTAGCCCGGAGAGATTCAACAGAGCTCCACCACCGTCTTCCACTGGATCTCCTCCTCGCAGCTTCCACGAGTCTATGATGATGAAACATAGATAAACAGAAGATACACAGTCATTCGATATTATATATTTTTGGCACTTGAAACTTTTAGACACTCCCCATTGAATAATTACGTATTTGTATTTCATTTCTTTATACATTTTATGTGTTGTGTGTTCTGACTTCCGCACCTCAGAATTGAGCTTTGTTGCTTGTTTAGATATATAGGAAAAACTTTAATCATGACGATTCTTTAGTATTTAAAATACAAAACAGTTCGTGTTACATCATTTTGGTTCGGTTCGGTTGTAGAGGCTTGATGCATCGCGTGTTAGCCGTGGACCTTAACCCATAACAAAATTCGATCAAATCCGCAAATAACAGTTTTACTGTTTCGGTACTACTATTATCTTTTTACCGTTACTAATCTGAATATTAATGATTTTGTTATAATTGAGGATTTATGCCCTATGCTTCTGAAAACAGTGGTCCATAATATTGTTTTATAAAAAAAACAAATAGAAAGCAATTAATGATTAACTTCTTATGTGTATTCATTTTCAAAAGTAATGTTTTATAATTCTAGTTTAGATCTCCCAACAAAAGAAAAAATTTAAGAAAAAGAAGTTTGGTCAGTCTATTGCGTTGAGTAAAGTGTGTATGTCTTGTGTACTTTGATGATAATATAATTGATGACAGCCTATTAATCTCCAAATACACTCTAGTTTTTGTGGTTAGAAATTAATTTTCCTTTTATAACTAAACGAATCATGAACTCCTAAAATCTAAAATCAAAACTCACTACATGTTCACACATGGTTTACTTCCACTTTCAATATTTATCATTACTTATTAGGAGCTAACCTTTTCAGTTGAATAAATTAATCATCAACCAAAAACAACTACTATAGTATTTTAAAATTATATGGCATGATATTTCAGTATTTTTTCAGGAATTTATTAAAATAAATACTATTTAAATTTAAGTAAATATCAGTATAATTTCATTGCGATTAATATTTATCTGGCAAAATACACGAAAAGTGTTTGGTTATATTAATAATTACTCTTGACAAAAAAATATTAATCATCTAATTTTTATATAGTCTTACAATAATTTATTACATGAATTAGGAGCTGACACCTCATTTAAATTTTCAGCCACAAAATTTCACTTACTAAATTTGGCATATGAATTATACACCAAACCGATCTCAATTAATTGCCCAAAAGCGAACGCTATTAATTATCAACTATTTAGGTTTTCTATGTACTATATAAAATTAATGTACAATCTAGATCATACACATGAGAGTTGCGTTGATCAAACTAAATACAGTTAAGATATTGTAATATATATGGTAAACTTTAGTAAATATCAAGAAATAGAATTCAGTTCCAAACAAAAACGAACTTCACTGATTTTGAATATACCAATTAATAAAATACTGGCTAATGCATATTAGTGATAGAGAGTTAGGAAGCAGCTGTCGTTATACACATAAGCTCTCTGTAATGTTTCTGTCAAGCTTTCCTTTGATTTAATATGTACTTTCTTCCTTCTCACTGTTTACGATTTGTGTGGACGTGAACTAATCCCTCCAAGATTTAATTGAATTGATTAATTATTAAGTAATTTCTCTTAGAAATTTTTTTGGGATCAAACTTCTCTTGGCAACTTAATTAATAAGTGTTGTAACAAAATACTACATATTTCAGTAACATATCCATCGTGCTATTACCAATAGTGACCATATATAGTCACACGTATGCTATTTATTACTACGTAATTTATCGTGGCAACTTTTTATTAAATTTTTGTAATAAAATATTACGTATTTCTATTGATTTTGTTGTATATACATAGGTGTGAATGTGTGATGTAATATATTATTACCATTATCGTGCATGCTATTACTAATTAGACAATAGTCACAACAGATGTGCGGCGAGGGAACATAACTGCAGAAGAACAGCTTTTGATCATTCAACTTCATGCCAAGCTTGGAAACAGGTCTTAAATTGATGACTACATGCGTACGTACGTAAATTTTAACTAGAAATTTACGGTGTTAAATATAATATGTTATGTATAGGTGGTCGAAAATTGCAAAACACCTTCCGGGAAGAACGGATAACGAGATAAAGAATTTCTGGAGGACAAAGATTCAGAGACACATGAAAGTGTCGTCGTCGGAAAAAATGGATATTCGTCAATATTGTTCGGGAAATTCACAGAGCTCGGTGATGACAACGATGGACCAAAGCAGCTCCAGCAAAGCCTTGGATATGGCTGAGAGCTTAATCTCTCCGGTGACTACTACGACGTCGTCGTTTCATGTTTTGGAACAGTCAAACGACAGTTACTGGAACGTTGAAGATCTGTGGCCCGTCCAGTTGCTTAATGGTGACCACCAAGTGATTTAATTATACATTAAGATATAAATCATCTAATGAATGAGATTATGCATTTGCTAGTTGGACGGGATGATACATCTGCCCGATCTGATTTTTGTATGGTATTTTGGATTTATATTGCTGAAATGTTGTTTCATATTTAATTACATATAATAGTCATGTAATAATCATTTAATCTCAAATCATGTGGAGGCGGTAGGTCTGTAAGTTATTTACACATTACTACTCCCTTTGATTCAGTTTCGAGTTTATTTGGTGTTTGGATTTCTATTTTATTTTTATCAGTTTTGTGGTAATTGGTAAACGTGAAAAACAATGGAAATTTTTTTTACAAGTCTATAAAGCAAATAGAAGAAAAAACAATATGAAACTGAAAGTTAGAGTTATTTGAATATTAAAGAAATAGTAGATATAAAACCAAAACGTAGCAGACTGCACACATACGAATATATATATGAGAGATATATAGGGTATGAATTTGGATTTGTACACACAAAAGCACTCACTCTCTGTATATGTATAGAGCAAAGAAGAGTTTAAAATTTTGGAATGGGACGTTGTTGTGGTTGTGGTTTAGTCATCAGCTGGATCATTGGGAGTTTCATCGGCATTGCGTTTGATGGTGAGGACTGGACACTCGGCATGTTTCACACAGAAGGCACTCACAGTCCCCACAAAAACCCTGCAATGCAAGAGAGTGTAGAGGAACAAAACCAATAAGACTCAAAGAGATATGATTAAGAAAACACATCATGTTCCAAACAACAACACTAGCTAGTAACTTAGAGAGTCTATGATCTCAAGCTCTGCATTGCTTGTCAAACATTCGATTCCCTTGTTGGGCGGCTCAGATCCTGTCCAGTCTTAAACTAATCAACTAGTCTATTCTGTCGCAGTTAAATGTCTAATCTGATCATTCAGCCAAATAAGAAGCTGATTATATGGGTACAAAGTATGAGAGTGTGAGTATTTGACTTACTTTTGGAACCGGCCAAGACCACGGCTTCCCAAAACCAGAAGATCTGGTCGGACCCGCCTCACTTCTTGGCATATCACATCCTTGGGGTCACCTTTCTTGATCCATGCCTCGCAACCAACCTACAAGTTTTACAGAAAAATAACACAAGTGCACAGGTTATTATGAGGTTTACGATATACTCCACTCTCCATGGAAGAAGATAAATAGATAACAGAGTCAGAGACAGAGACAGAGGAGGACAACTTAATGATTTTAAGAAAAAAAACACAAAAAAAAAGGGGGGAGTGTTTTTGAATTTACCCCAATCTCATGACATTTTTTAACGAAAAACTCGAGAAGGTGAAGACCTTTTGCCTTGTTAGACTCTCTCATGTCTCGGAAATCCTCAGGAGAAGTAAATATGCTGTCTACTTCATCAAAACCTGGATTTCCAGAGAAACTTAGCCCAAAAAAGGAAACAAACTACAAAATACCACAAAAAGAGAAACTTTGCATACATCACATTTCTTCAAATGTTCAACAGCGAAATTTCAAAAAAAAAAAAAGAGGAAAGTTTGTCACAACCATGGAAAGAGATTTATCTCAACTACGCATATTTTTTTGGGGGGAACTAGCTCATACTATGAAGAAAAACGCATATATGATCGATCCATTTTAAGCTTGCTCAAATCTACGACCACGATATCGCACAGAAATACGGCGCCAAATTTAAGGATATGAAGGAAAGAAAAAAGGAAATAGGGCGCCAAGAGAAGAACCGTCTTCGTCCACAACTTGTACATTGAACAAGAGAATCTTGAAATCGGATGTGTTGGATCGGACGATCTTCTCCAGAGTCCATTCAAAAGCTCTTTTGCAGCTAATCGAAGGGTGGGGATAGCCTTTGATCGCCGATTCGTTCACAGCCACCATCACCCGAGTCGGCTCGCTTGCAATTTCCATTTTTTTCACACTCGTCGTCTCCTTCTCCAATTCTCTGATGAACAAGTCCGGGTTTTTGGACAAGGACCTGGTCTGATGACTGATGGAGATCACAAACTGTGCGCCTCACGACGTGTCTAAAAGCGTAATTTTTCATCAACTAATAAGCCTGCTAAAATGCGCCGCCTTTTTTCCTTCTGTTACGGCGGGGGACAGCTATGCGGCTAAGACTAACAGCTTCTTTACGCAACTTTCCAAAACTACCCTTTCTACTAATTATTTACAAGCCCTACTACAATAATGGCCCAGTGAATGGCCCATCATCTCTATATATATATATATATATATGTCTGAAAATAATTACCAAACAAAACGTATATTGTTTTTTTCTTTAAAAAGTAGTACATCATGTTACAACAATAGGTCTTTTTCATTGATTTTATCACACTTGTTATTATGAGCTGGATGGAAATGTGGTATTTTATTTACTACACAAGACTAAAGAATTTCACCCCCAAAAAAAAAAAAAAAAAAATCGAAATCATACGCCTAAATTATTAATGTTTTTTATTTGGGTTACTGAAGATGAATTCCAGTGAAGGAAACTCTACCAAAGCCAAGATGCCCAATCTGATACAATTCCAACCAAACTCTCTCAGCTTCAACTCTCGCACTGATTCTCGTCTCATCTTCTCCCCTAAACGACGCCGTTTTCTCCTCCTCCTCCTCCTCCTCCGCCTCCTTTGTCAAACTCCCGTCTCTCTCCACCACAAACCGGTGGTCATCGAACTCTCCATCTCCTCCGCCGCAACATCCACCGCTCACGCCTTTCAACGTCTCCGACCTCCGGTTGTGATCAAACCGATCCTCGCGGCTGATCTTTTTCCTCCGCTTCTTACTACGGCCGATACATTTCCGGCCTATCATCCACGGGACCTTGACCAAGGCAAGAGTGAGCAAGTTCAAGACGGCGCAAGGGCAACAGCAGAGCGCCACACAGTCGGCGATCGCCGCCGCCGCCCACGACCGGCACCTTTTCCCGGAGCATTTCGGCGGCGCTTCATCAACGGCTCCTCCTTGACTCCGGTGGGACCCACTCTGGTCCTTACGTGAAACTCGATGCGCCTTTTGGTTTCCCTCTCCCATTTTATTAAAATTATAATCCTGCTGCTAAAAAAGAAAACAAAACAAAAAGCTTACATTACTAGTCTAGCTATATATATATATATAACTAAATAACTACATCATGATATATGCATTCATATATACGGATTTTGTCCATACATGTTGTTGATACGTAAAGAGAAAAATAGTACTCCGTATTGTCAAAAAAAAAAAAAGGAAAAAAAAAGAGATATAGGAAACAGCAACAAAGATTTTTCTTTCCCATGGGACTTGACCAGACAGTACTTTCAGGTGGATTCAAAACTCACTCACGCTCCTCACTCCCCTCACCTCTGGCGCGTGTTAACCACTGCCTTCACAGCTTCACCTTACGCTGTTTCATTCATGGCCGGTCTAACCAAAAACCTTCTTCTTATTTGTCCGCATATATATCACATTTCTATGTTACAATTTTTATCATATATAATGGAAAGGTTATCACTTTCTTTATTAATGAGAAGTAAATAACGTTATGAGGAAATGCAGGAAAGGAAACTATTGAATATTAAGATCCAGTGATTTGACTGGTCTGGTTAGGTAGCGAATGAAAGAAGTTGAACCAGCGCGTCGAAGATGGATCTGAAGCTTTTTTGTTGGCTAGGGATAATAATCTTAAATCTTAATATATTGTTTACTCTGGGGATGAGTAATAACTTTTTATTTTATTTTTGGGGTTCTCTAATCTCTATGGTAAGAATCTTCTGGTAAGGTAGCTTTATTTTATAGAGTCCCTATTAATTTCAAAATTAAAATCCTAACGCTCTTAAGGGTCTTATTTTCGACCAAAAAAAAGGAAAAGATGGTCTTATTACTAGTGTATTAAACTAATTTAATATCAGTAAGCTAACGTGGATGAGATCCTATCTCACATGTGTTGCCGGGTCTAAGCATGGCCCAGTTACATGGCCCATTACAAAACTTCAAGTAATTTAAAATGGTTTTGTTAATTTGTTGATAAAATATAATTGGTTACTGTTATTAAGCTGATAAGGAAATTGATGTTCCCTTTGTGCTCATTTATGTCTCTGTTTTTGTTTTGGTCTAAACTCTCTGTTTTAAAACTTCATCGACTAAAAGCTTTATAGACAGGCCAAAAAAAAAATGATAAGGAAAAAAAATAGGGTCTATGATTTCTAAACTGTTAATTTTACTTTGATTTGTAATGATTTATGTGACACAATCTATTAGGAATGACTTGCTTTCTCTAAGGTGTTTTTGATATTTTTTTTATAACCTACATATCTTTCGATATTTACTAAAAAGGATCAAAAGGTGAAAGTACGATCGACTTTACCTTTTCACTTGTCTAAGGTAAAAGTACACAATTAAAGCCGGTCAAATTCAAAGACTATATATATACACTGTATTATTTTTTCTTTTCATTTTTTGGCGTCGGTTGTACATATGATTTGCTATTTTCTTAAATTGGCCATCATTTTCTGTCGATAAGAACTTGATGCAAAAAATCAACATTAACTACTATATATGCCGGACAAACATAAGATAGTTAGATAGTGTACTATTCTGTGTAGTCTATTTTATTTTAAACGTAGTTTTGTTTTATGGTGAGACAAACTTATGCACTAATCAGTGTAGCCTACAAATATACACACATTATCCTTTTTAACAGAAGAAACACTGTTTAACTAGGTATATGATTTTAAACAGTATATAAATAGTATTGTACTTGTTTTTAATTTATCACAGTTAGCATTCTAATAAAGAAAAATATTGAGTAATGAATAAGATTATTCTATGTTTGGAGTAATTCTTTTCATTACTCCATTTTAAAGTTAGAAAAAGAGTAAAATTAAGAAGAGTTGCTCTAAAGTAGTATTTGGAATAGAAAATAGATTGGGGGTTGAAGAATTTGAATCAGTGAACACCGTAGAGCAGACGTTTAAAAACAATATGCATTGATATAGAAAGCATCCCCTCATGAAAATAGAATAATACTATAAGCAAGAAGGTCATTACTAGTGTGAGCAAAAAGGGAGAATTATCAAATGGCTACATACCTTTGGTTCTTTCGAGTAATTAACCTACTCAAAAGGCACAGATCCTATTAAAAAGCCTTCCATGTATGAAGACATCATTAATCTTTAACAAAAATGGAAATCGGTAAAAACAAAATTTTGTTGTTGTGTTTTAAGGGTCTGAATAGTGGATCCTCAAATTTGAAGTTTCACTATTCAAAACCTCAAATTTTGAGGATTTGAGGGTTGGGTTGGAACACAAAAAACCTCAAATTTGAGGGTTTAAGGGCTGAGTTGGAGATGCTCTAACAAAAGCTCTCTTTCTAAAGCATCAATATTCTATACTTATGAACATAGTATATATATATTATCCTTCAAAAAAGTAAACGTAAGCTAAATTCTTATTGAAAATACTACTTCTACCTATTTCTTAACTCAGTTGTAATTTAATTTTTAAATTATTATTAATCTGAACAAAATGATCATATTGTAGACTTAATTTTCTTAATGTATACTAATATTGAAAAATGATCTATGATTGCATGCAACTTAATTTCGAAGGAAAAGAAAGTTAGTGTATACTCTGTATGGATATCGTAACATATTGTTTTCGATTGATTTTATCGAAAGTTGTGCGATTTATTAAATACTCAAACATAGCGTATGTATAGTATATATATCCTTTTAATTGTGAATTCTACTTAACTGGTTGAACTAATGCCAGCAACACTCAGTCGGTTTCAAATTTCAAGTCGCACTCACATTTTACATGAAAAGAGTCTACTCGATTATTCAACCTGCAGGCACTCAAAGGCACTTATATTACATTCTACAGTTGTTCAGTAGAGTAATCCCAATTATGGATTGTTCCGGTTAAGAAAGTAGGTGGAACTGGAACCGGTTAGGGTTAATGTAATTGGATGCGGATTTAGAGGAAATACTGCAACTTTTGTGGTTGATGATGAGTCCCGAAGACAGAGAGAATCAAATTATGGGAACTCGGCCCCTCATGTGCATTCCTATGCAACTCGTATTATTTTTATTGTTTATATTTCTTGAGAAACGAACTAAATACCCAAATTTAGAACAACTTACAATTGATAGTACCTATTCATGATGCACCAAAGTTTCGTATAAAAAAACGGTCTAACTGGAAAAAAAGGAATATCTTTACTAAATATTGTGAATGTGTTGTTAATTCGTCCTTCAACATATTTAGTTAGTTACCTTTTTAATGCATTGCATTCGATCCCTCTTTGATTTAGTATCTCAGGGAAAAAAATGAACTTTGTGAGCACTTCGATGTTTAGTCGAATAATTATCATTTAATTTAGCATATGTCAACGAAACTAACTCAAATATTTTTTTGGATTTCTTTAACATTTAGTAATAGAGGGTTTAGTACTAGACTACTAGTAATTGCGTAAAACTTTGCGTAGACTAAAATAAAGAATAGGAAAAGAATTGTATTTTATTTTGTTGGTGCTTTTAAAAATCCAAATAATAAGCAGCGTCGGTGAGGCCTTTTCCTATCTGTTTGCTGCCTTTGTAAAGCACATTGCTTGAGCCATGCACGTGCGATGCTGCGAAGAAGCACGTGCGTCGGGTTCCAAGACCGTAACGTCAGCTACTGAGACCGATGATGCTCTTTAAATCTTTAGGCAACAAAAAGTTTTGTTCACAAAGTCCAACCGTCAGTCTGTCAGTGACACGCACACACCCAACGGTCTCCTTTTCTCTCTACTCTCACCGCTATTACGACACGTGTCAAAGTATAATGAAGAAATGAAGGGAAGCAAACATGACTTAAATGGCTCCTGAGTTACGATTCACACCTTCCATGCATTAAATCAACGCGTTATATAATAGCTAAATAGGCTTTTAAGGTTACTTGAGTCGTTCACATGAGTTCCATACATATATATAGCTTCGCCACCGCGGTCGCACAAACAAATCTTATTCGTTCTCCTTTTGTGGTTGACCAAAAAGAAAAATCTCAAGTACATGAGCTGTACTATGGATCACGTTTGAAATAATACGAGTACTAGCTAGTCTGCATGCGCAACTACTCCATCTTTGTCAAATGAGTGGCTTTGATATGTGTGGGACTAATATGTTCATATATGCGAACTATTTCAGGAATAAATATTCTTTAATCCCATATGACGAGTTGGGTTGACTAATTAGAAAGCATATAGGAGATGTTGACATAACAAAATAATGAGAGAAAGCTATAAACCAAATTCATTAGCTGATAACTTTAATATTTCAATTTGACATCTAACCGTAAACCCGTTTCTTAATTCATACAGGTGGATCAAGCTACAGTCAGCCTTTTACCAATTTAGCATGCTATTGTGGCCTAAATCATATGGCTTAATGTTTTGTTTATGTGAAAGAAAGAAAGAAAGAAGTGGACGAATTTTGTTTTTTTTTTAAAAAAATTTTGTTGACTTCGTCCAAAGCATGAGAAAATTTCAGAGCAAAATTTCGAGTGGATTTCAAATTACTACTTAAACTCGTGGTGGATCTTGTAGAGATCAATTTTTGAGACAGACGTACGCATGTACAATAATAATATATAGAGATACAGAAACGAACACGATCGTTAAATAAACAGAGGAAAACAAGGGCAAAATGCAGGATTTTTCCTCTACGGTGTCGTATAGCCCAAGCTTCAGTTTCTACGCTTCCGGCGAAAATCAGAGCTACAGTATCACAGATCCCCAATTCCGTTAAAGTAGTCAATGACGAAGACGCTGACTTTCGCATTCGAAACGTCGCCGTTACATGAAGAGACCTTCGTCGACTTCCCGGCGTTCACACATGTCTCCAACGACACCGTCTTGATGCGTAACAAGAAAGACGATGATGTGGCAGTCGACGCTGGAACTATCCCGGGGAATCGTTTTTAAGGAAGAAGATTGAGTGTGGAATCTGAAGAACTGGACAACTTCTCAGATCTCCGGCGGCTGCGAAGATTACGTGGAAATTTTAACTCTTTTTAAAAAAATTACTTTCCCTGCTAATTTTAGAAATATAG